CACCTCCATGCCACCATTCTCTGAAGATGCTAGCCACAGTTGCAGGTGAAATGTCAGGAATACATTCTTCTAAAACACAGCCCCACAGCTCTTCAAGCTGTCAGCAGAGGTCCTATTATCCAAGAAACCATTCACTGGAAATGCTGGAAACTGATCCTGGGAGCTACATGTTTTCTCCTGCTTTGGGAATAACAAGGGCATCCTTAAGTTTGAGCCATCGTGGCATAGTGGTTTGAGTATTAGACTATGACTCCGGAGACCAGGGTTCAAGTCCCAGCTCGGCCAGGAAACCCACTGACGTCAGAACCATGCCTGCGTGCATGAGTTCTGTCACATGTTAATCTTGGGTTTGTAGTACTTGTAGTTGATTGGGGTTTCTAGGTGGGTTAGTATTGGGAGATATAGGCTGGTTGGGATGGGGGGTTGGACGTAGTGCTATTGTGTTAGAAAGTCAGGCCTTTGGAACGTATGGGCTGTGGAAGGTGATGAGTTGGTGTCTGGTTGTATCTGGAAGGAGGGGGGTTGGGTGGAAGGCTTGGGCTGGAGAAAGATATCGTTGGTGAGAACCTTTGGAAAGGGGGCTGACTTGATGGAGGGAAATGGCTGTGGGAATTGGAGGTGGGTGCTGGTTTTAGTGCCAAGGGTGTTGGGTGAAGTGTGATATTTGGTGGTTTTAATATACCATTGGATTGATGAGAGGGCAGTTCTGGCTTAAATACTGACTGGTGAATTTCTGGCTTTGTGTTGAATCTTCTTGTTGAATCAACTTGCTGGACTTACTATTACCGAGTTGTTGAATTTAGCCAAGTCTGACAACTGGTGACCCTGGGCAAGTCACACTCTCTCTGCCTTGGTGGGAGGCAATGGCAAGCCTCCCCTGAACAAATCTTGCCAAGAAAACTCCTTGATAAGTTTGCCTTGAGGTCGCCATAAGAAACGAGTTGAAGACTCACAACAACAACCAACCAAAATCCTTACATTTGGCATGCAGTCTCTCAGTCACCACAGTATCATGGTGGTAGCTATGACTTCAAAATTTTGTAATATACTAGTGATACAGTTAGGATCGCTGTTCCCAGGGTCAAAACTTGGAGCAGTTAAGAGGTACTGCATTAGCATGATGATGCAGTGAAATTGGTGGGGGCCATTGGCATATGATTGCTGACTGCCAGAAGACAAGTGTTTCTTATACCCCCCTCCATCACATCAACATATGCTCAATATAGACTAAATTTTGTCACTTCATTTCTGAGCTTGGAAAAGTGATAGATAGGGAAAGACAAATGCTCATAACTTGAATTTTGCAATTGCAATAATAGGCAAGTGCTTGAATGAAGATGAGCAGGAGAGAGCTGGAAGGGCAGGACACTGGAGATGAGGCAATGGGGGTTGGAATGTATGTAATTAGGATAGGAGGTTAGCCTGAATAAATAAACATTCTCTTTTACTGGTGATAAAATTTTGAACATAAGTAACTTATTTTAATTTGTTGGCATAGCAGTTTTGTTTCCCAAATACAGGACTTGTTTTGAATGTACAAGATTATTTGCGCGTAAAAATGCATATCTTTCCATGAAAGCTTACCTAAAGCTATATTTGTGAAAGTATAATCTTTAGTTTCTCCTAATTTATGTTCAGTTTAATGGTGTATTGGCATAGTAGCCCATTTTTCTAATTGCTTTTTAAAAAGTGATAATTTGACTGTTATATGTAATGGTTCTCCAAATATAGATATTATTAAGGTGATGAACAGCTCGGTTTGTATTTATGCTTATCAGTAACCTTTACTCATAATGTGATATTGTCTGAATGTCTTATTTTGTTCAGCTTTCCCTAGCCCTGATGAAGCCTTAGGCTGCTGTTTCTTTGAGTTACTGATAATTTTTTATCTGATTAACTGACACATTTAGTTGAAATCAGACACAGCCCTTAGGCTGGGCATGGATTTAATTTAAAAAGTATCAAAGGTTTGCACTGTGTGCTGTTTAATCATCATGTTTATCAGGCAAGAAAAAATTACCGGAAGGACCATAGGGAAAGGGGTTATCTTAAGGAGCAGTAGCTTGGGAAATTGACAATAACTACAAGGTAATTTACTGCTAACTTTCGCTTTCATTAATATAACATTTCCCACTAATAATTACAGTGCATGTAATATACTAATTAAATGGAAAGCATTATCACTAAATTTCTTCCTGCTGAACTCAAAGAATTGTTTTAACAAGAGGATTTTAAAAATCACACCTAAAGAGTACTGTTTTCAATCCACAAGCAAATTGGGCAGCTCCATAACATTTTGATATGGCATTCTGTGTTTATTTTTTTGTTGTTTTTTTGTTTTTGTTTTTTAAGGAATCCTTATGGTTTCTGCCGGGAATTATTCCCAATGTATCTTGTTTGGCACCATACCACTGAGATTTTCATAGCATAAGTCAAACAGCCCTTATTAATAGGATGGCGCTCATGGTCACAAGATTCAAATTGGTGTTTCAGTGCTGCTCAAGATTGACTTAGAGTAAAATATTTAGGCCCTTGGGAGGTCATCCTTGAAGCTATAGTATATCATGAACCTGTACCTTGAAGGGTGGGGAAATCCATTGTGGAAATTTTCCCTTGATGAACTGCTCTTTCATGAGCAGTTAGGAGCAGTTAAGATGCAGTGGTTCAAGTGGTTAAGACGCTGACTCTGTTTGCAAAATTGGTAGGTTGGGAGTTCGAGGCCCGGGTGAGCATGATGGGGTGAGCTCCTGTCACTAGTCCCAGCTACTGCCAACCTAGCATTTCGAAAGCTTGCAAATGCAAGTAGATAAATAGATACCACTTTGGTGGGAAAGTAAACAGCATTCTGTGCTGGCCACATGATCATAGAGTAGTCTCTGATAATGCTGGCTCTTCGGCTTAGTAATGGAGATGAGTACCGTCCTCTATGGTCGGACATGACGTGAAAACCTTGTCAACGGGGAACTCACAATG